CATCAGTAAATGTATACTTATATAATTAGCTATTTTTCTTCTTGTTGTTGCTGATATCAGTAAATGTATACTTACATAATTAGCTGTTCACCCACTTGTTGTTGCTGACATCATTAAATCTATACTTACATAATTAGCTATTCACCCACTTGTTGTTGCTGACATCATTAAATGTATACTTATATAATTAGCTATTTTTCTTCTTGTTGTTGCTGACATCAGTAAATGTATGCTTATATAATTAGCTTTTCTTCTTCTTGTTTTTGCTGACATCAGTAAATGTATACTTACATAATTAGCTATTCTTCTTTTTGTTGTTGCTGACATCATTAAATGTATGCTTACATAATTAGCTGTTCTCCTACTTGTTGTTGCTGACATCATTAAATGTATACTTATATAATTAGCTATTTTTCTTCTTGTTGTTGCTGACATCAGTAAATGTATGCTTACATAATTAGCTTTTCTTCTTCTTGTTTTTGCTGACATCAGTAAATGTATACTTACATAATTAGCCATTCTTCTTCTTGTTGTTGCTGACATCAGTAAATGTATACTAACATAATTAGCCACTCTCCCACTTGTTGTTGCTGACATCAGTAAATGTATACTTACATAATTAGCCATTCACCCACTTGTTGTTGCTGACATCTTTAAATGTATACTTACATAATTAGCTGTTCTCCTTCTTGTTGTTGCTGTTGTTGTTGCTGACATCAGTAAACTTATACTTACATAATTAGCTATTCTTCTTCTTGTTTTTGCTGACATCAGTAAATGTATCTTCTTCTTCTTCTTCTTCTTCACTTCCTCTTTTACCGCTGTGGGTGTCGAGGGAGATATAAGGTTCTGTTTCTAGCTCTTCTGGCTGCCTCGACCATAGGCACATCGTGCTGTTGTAGAGTTTCTCTTGATGTTATCCTTCCATCTTGTTCTTGGTCTACCCCGTGCTCTACGTCCTTCTTCTCTTTCCATGTATGCTTTTTATGGTATGGTGTCACAAGGCAATGTCTCTAAGTGGGCAAACCATTTCACTTTTCTTTGTATGTAATCCAGAATTGGTTCTGTGCCTACTTGTTCTCTTATGATCTCATTCCTGATCTTATCTCTTATGGTCACTCCTACAGCCCTTCTCAGACATCTCATTTCCGTGGTTACTAATTTTCTTTTATGGTTTGTTGTGAGTGACCATGTCTGGCACTGGTAGCACAGAGTTGGAATAAATATGCATTGAATAAGATGTCTCTTTGTGCTGATTGGGATTGTCTTATGCTGTAAGAGGGGGGCTAGCTGTCCCAATACTTGGTTTGCTTTACTGCATCTAATGTCAATTTCTTTATCCAATTTCCCATCTTCGGTAAATGTAGTTCCCAGATATTTAAACTCAGATGCCTGTTTAATGTCTTTGTATTCTATTGCTATGTTTAGATCTGTCTTCTTTTTTCCTATTGACATTACTTCTGTCTTTTCAGTGTTGATTCTCATATTATTTGTTTTACATTCTTCATTCATGGATGTTAGATGTTGTTGCAATTTCATGGCTGTATCTGCTATCAAGGTCTGGTCATCTGCAAAGAGTAATTCGTTGATCTTACTAAGATCTTCATTCATGGGCTTAGCATTCTTGCATATACTGTCGATGTAGGTGATTACCAGCAGTGGTGATAAGACACACCCCTGTCTTACTCTAGATGTCACTGTGAAAGGATGAGATGTTCCCTGATTTATTCTAACTACACTTCTACAATACCTGTATAAACTTTTGCACACTTCGATGAGGTGTTCGCTTACTCCATATCTTGCCATTATTTTCCATAGTAATTGTCTGTCGACTCTGTCAGATGCCTTCTCCTGGTCTAGGAATGCCACAAATAAGTTCTTATTGTATTCAATGTTCTTTTCTATTAACTGTTTAAGTGTGAAGATTGCATCTGTGCAGCTTCTATTTCTCCTAAATCCCATCTGTTCTTCTGCCAGCTGTGGTTCTATCACTGGTCTCAGTCTTGTTTCTATTATCTTGGCATACATTTTGCCAACATGGCTTAAAAGAGAGATGCCTCGATATTGACTGCATTCTCGTTTGCTTCCTTTGTTCTTCCACAATGGTATAACTATTGCATGTTGCCAATCAATAGGGGCTGTTTGTTGTACCCATGCTGCATTGAATATTCTGTGAAGCCATCTGATGCTGCTTTCCCCTGCTGCTTGAATGATTTCTGTTGGTAATCTATCAGCTCCTGGTGCTTTATATTTGGGAGACTGCTTAATGACTTTTTCTATTTCATCCATTAGTATGTGTGGTTCTAACACTGTTGCTCTGTGCTCTTCAGTTGTTCTTTCCTGATGATCTCCTAGAGGATTAAAGAGCTCATTGAAGTATTCCCTCCATCTTTCTGCTATCTCGGGTAGATCTATCAATGGCCTTCCTGTCTTATCATTAATTATTTCAGTGGGGTTGTAGCTCTCATCTCTTTTCCGCATATTTTTAACCACATTGAAAAATTTTCTGCTGGCTGTTTTCTCATTTTCTGCTAGTGACTCACCGAAACGCTCCCAGGATGCTTGTTTTGCTTTCTTGACACTCCTGTTGGTTTCTCTCCTTTGCAGTCTATAGTTTATATAATCTTCTTTCTTTGATTTTATCCACTGTTTATATGTCTTTTTTCTTTTTAATTGCTTCTTTTACTTCTTCGCACCACCAAGGTGAATATTTGTTATTTCCCCATCTGTTTCCACTCTTCTGTTTTCCACATAATTCTTCTGCAATACTAAGCATAGTGTTTATATATATATACTCCATTCTTCCTCAATATTGCCAACTACATGTGGAAGTTGTTTGAATGCTGTCTCTACTTTCTGTTGTAACTGCTCTTTTACTCCTTCCTGTTTCAGATTTGCTATCTTGATGAGATCCTTGTTTTTGTTTAATTTCTTTCTGTGTTTCTTTAATGTAAGATGTTTTGCTGTTAACACAACTATTTTATGGTCAGTGTCACATAGACCATTAGGGATTGCTCTTGAATCAAGAATTCTCCTTCTTCCTTGAACTCTGGTAAGTATAAAGTCAATCTGGCTCTTGATGGAAACATCATTCCATTTGTACCAAGTGTAAAGTTGTGAATCACTATGGTCAAAGAATGTGTTCGTAATAAAAAGATTGTGCTGGCTGCATAGATCCAATATTCTTTGACCATTTCCATTTCTAGCACTGTTCTTAGCTGCATATGGACCTAAAAACTGTTCGTATTCTCTTCTGTTATTTCCTACCCTCCCGTTGAAGTCACCCATTACATATAGTATGCTGCTTCCCTCAACTTTCTTTATCTCATCAGACAGATCGTCAAAGAATTCATCTTTCTGCTCTTCTGTATAATTATCATTGCATGGTGCATATATCTGTATATATGTTTCAGCTTGTTTTCCTCTTTTAATTTTCAAAGTAATAATTCTTTCTGAGTGATAATGTATGTCTAATATGTAGTTAGATATGTCCGGATGTACCAGGAAACCCACTCCATTCTTCGATGTTTCTCCTCCTGCATATGTTAGTAAGTAGCCTCTGTGTATTTTCTTATTAATATTTCCCTTGCGTCTTATGTCAGCTAGCCTGATTAACTTGATTTTCCTTTTTTCCATCATTTCAATAATCTCTTCTGTTTTATTTCCCAGGCCAGCGGTGTTAAGTGTTGCAATCTTGTATTTCGCTGTTCTGTCTCGTAGTCCCTTAACATTGCAATGGTCAGATACCGTTTGATCAGTCCATTTATATCTCATTTTGATTTTTGTAGCGGTAAAAAATCCATTGCCGGCTTGCTAGGCCTGTCGCAACTTCACCAGAGCCCCGTTGGCCAGGACGTTTCGGGGTGACCCAGGGTGGCCTTCATGGCTACCGTAGCGGTTGTGTGGCACGAGGCCACACTATACTTCGCCCACATCTAGCAATCCCCTACTTTGTCCTGTTACCACCTCTCACGACGAGGACGTGGGGTTGGTCTTTGAGAGGCAGTAAATGTATACTTATATAATTAGCTATTCTTCTTCTTGTTGTTGCTGACATCAGTAAATGTAAACTTCGTGCAATGACTTTCTTTTATCTTCTATCTGGCTCGCATCATTGCACGCTGGCTATCTTACATACCGACATCACACGACGAGCAGAAAATGGACGACTGGAAAACAACACGATACTGTTCAGCACTTTAATCTTCTACTCGCGGCTTACACAGCCGGCACATGAAATAGACTACTGTCCAGGCACACATTATAACTCAAATATCAAAAGTATCTATTACCTTCTGTTCCTAATCACAATCATCCTACACTATCATAATGAACGAAAACACAACAGCTGTCCTGACAGAAAAACTAACATGGCCCGCAGACATCATATTGCCTGCCAGCTTTTTTGCCAAGTTGGACTGGAACAAATTCACTCAACACATGTTGAATCCACACAACTTCCATCGTTGTCCATGCACTCTGTTCCTGGGCCCAAACGAGACTGCCTCTCAGCCCTTTCTACGCTATTATATAGTCTTCTAATCCAGACTTCGTTTTTCCCGAATATTCAGTGTCCCTTCTGTCTCACGAATTCCATTTGGGTGGACATGGTGCGTGGCACGTGATTCCTCGTACTTCGCGTGAAGTTCGACAGTCAACGTTTTTATTCACGTGAATAATTATGCTTCACACAAAGTTTGACTATCAGCCTTTTTTCTGTAACTCCCGTGAAGTTCAGACTCAACAATCCCCGTGCCATCCCAGTTAGAGTCAAAATATTCCACTCACATTTATTACTGACGTCATCTGTCAGGGATAAATTAACTGGGAGAAAATGAGATTCACTACACTTACATAATTAGCTATTCACCCACTTGTTGTTGCTGACATCATTAAATGTATACTTACATAATTAGCTGTTCTCCTTCTTGTTGTTGCTGACATCAGTAAATGTATACCGGACATAATTAGCTATCCTCCTTTTTGTTCCTTGTATGCAGGATATCCCAATGCACTGTCCATTGATTATGACTCACTAAGGCTGTACTGGGTGGATGCAAAAATGGATAAAATTGAGAGTTCAGATCTTGCTGGAAGAAGTCGGCTGACGTTAATACAACAGACGCCTCACCCATTCGGCCTCACTGTGGTGAGTAACAGTAGATTTGTTCAAACTTGTAAGGCTAGAATGTCAGCAGCTTGTAAGATTGGAGTCATAGTGACTCTCTGCAGCTTATAAGATTGGAGTCATTGTGACTGTCTGCAGCTTATAAGATTGGATTCATAGTGAATGTCATCAGCCTGTAAGATTAAAATCACTTTGAATGTCAGCAGCTTGTAAGATTGGCGTCACTCTAAATGTCAGCAGCTTGTAAGATCGGAGTCATTGAGACTGCAGCTTGTCAGATTGGAGTAATAGTGAATGTCAACAGCCTGTAAGATTGGAGTCATAGTGACTGTCTGCAGCTTGTAAGATTGCAGTCATTGTGACTGTTTGCAGCCTGTAAGATTGGAGTCATAGTGAATGTCTGCAGTCTGTAAGATTGAAGAAACTGTGAATGTCAGCATCTTGTAAGATTGGAGTCATTGTGACTGCAGTTTGTAGGATTAGAGTCAAAGTGAATGTTTGCAGCTTGTAAGATTGGAGTCATAGTGAATGTTAGCAGGTTGTAAGATTGGATTAATAGTGAACGTCAACAGCCTGTAGGATTGGAGTCACTGTGAATGTCAGCAGCTTGTAAGAATAGAGTCACTGTGAATGTCAGCAGCTATTAAGATTTTAATAATTGTGACTGCAGCTTGTAAGATTAGAGTCATAGTGAATGTCAGCAGCTTGTAAGATTAGAATTATAGTGTATTTTAGCAGCCTCTAAGATTGGAGTCACTGTGAATGTCAGCAGTCTGTAAGATAGGAGTCACTGTGAATGTCAGCAGCTATTAAGATTGAAGTCATAGTGAATGTCAGCAGCTTGTAAGATTAGATCACAGAGTATTTTAGCAGCCTCTAAGATTGGAGTCACTGTGAATATCAGCAGCTTATAAGACTGGAGTCATAGTGAATGTCTGCAGCTTGTAAGATTGGAATCATTGTGACTGCAGCATGTAAGATTGGAGTCATAGTGAATTTTAGCAACCTCTAAGATTGGAGTCACTGTGAACATCAGCAGTCTGTAAGATTTTAGTCACTGTGAATGTCAGCAGCTTGTAAGATTGGAGTCACTGTGACTGTCAGCAGCTTGTAAGATTGGAATCATTGTGACTGCAGCTTGTAAGATTGGGGTCATAGTGAATGTCAGCAGCTTGTAAGATTGGAGTCATTGTGACTGCAGCTTGTAAGACTGGAGTTGTATTGAATGTCAGCAGCCTGTAAGATTGGAGTCCTTGTGAATGTCAACAGCCTGTAAGATTGGAGTCATAGTGAATGTTAGCAGCTTGTAGGAATGGATTAGGATACTTGTGATCATGGAGTGCCCTGCTGATACACATACACCAACATAGTTTGCCTTTTCACACACTAACCAGAACCATGGATCAGGTCTGTGTTGTTGTCCCAACCAAGCTATAGTGTCACAACATGCTTTTTGACTTATTGTTGCTTTTTATTCTTTCATAACTTGTCTCCACAAATCATGAGTGTTTGCATTTTATTGCTCTATTCATATAATTGTCATCCTTCTCAAAGACTGCCTCATTTGCTTTCCGCCTGTTTTCCATGTTTCACATGCACGTAACATCTCACAGTGTTTCACATGCACATAACACCTCACAGTGTTTCACATGCACGTAACACCTCACAGTGTTTCACATGCACGTAACATCTCACAGTGTTTCACATGCACGTAACACCTCACAGTGTTTCACATGCACATAACACCTCACAGTGTTTCACATGCACGTAACATTTTACAGTGTTTCACATGCACGTAACATCTCACAGTGTTTCACATGCACGTAACACCTCACAGTGTTTCACATGCACATAACACCTCACAGTGTTTCACATGCACGTAACACCTCACAGTGTTTCACATGCACGTAACACCTCACAGTGTTTCACATGCACATAACACCTCACAGTGTTTCACATGCACGTAACATCTCACAGTGTTTCACATGCACATAACACCTCACAGTGTTTCACATGCACATAACATCTCACAGTGTTTTACATGCACGTAACATCTCACAGTGTTTCACATGCACATAACATCTTACAGTGTTTCACATGCACGTAACATTTTACAGTGTTTCACATGCACATAATATTTCACAGTGTTTCACATGCACGTAACATCTTACAGTGTTTCACATGCACGTAACATCTCACAGTGTTTCATGTAATGGGGGATATTTTCACCCTGATTAGGAAGGTTGGGGGAGAAAGGCCCAAGCTAACAATAATACAGAGAGAAGCCAGATACTCGGATTAACCGAGGTTTTCAAGATAGGGGATGACCACGAGTTATCACGTGGAACCCAAGGAGGACGACCACAGGTCGCCATGTAGAACCCAAGAACAACCACGTGTGGTCACGTGGAACGAACACTAGGTATAAGAAAGACCCCAGTTTGGTCAAGTTAGTATGTGTTGACCGTCAGAACGAGAGGACGTTAGAGTGTTCGTGAGAATGAGAACATGAAACTGATTGTTGCTAGAGGAAGACCAGACAACAACATCCATCAAAGCCAAGTCCAGCCAAGCCAAGTTGTGTGCAGCTTGATGCAATGATCAGATCCATCTATGCGGCGATGTGGAACTGAAGGCGCTGAGCTCTGGTCGATGAAGGTGTGAGAAGTCAGCGTGTTGGCGTCTGAACAATGTGGTGCATGTAAGCTATGAATTAGGACATGGACAGGACAATCTATGTAAGTGATGAGATGTCAATAAACTGTTTCGTACTTTGAAGTCGGTGTCGGCTTGTCCCAGTTATGTCATCTTAAGAATGTGGGCTAAAATCATTCACTAGACACATTATCTCCTAGACAACTAGCCCAAGGTCAGAACATGACTTATTGCAAGCACAGCTAAGTGAAACAAGCTTATTGAATTTCACATGCACATAACATCTCACAGTGTTTCACATGCACATATCTCACAGTGTTTCACATGCACATAACATCTCACAGTTGTTGACATCTTCTCACTGGTGTGTTGTGCATCTTTGCTAATGGCCACTTTTACATGAGGATTCTTGTTCTAATCTCTGTGAGGCATCCTGCGTAACATCTTATGATTGGCTGGTACTGACCTACTTTATTTTTGATGTATATTGCATCCTGTTGTTTCCAATATGTGATCTTTACAAGTTTAAAGTCTTTTCAACCTTGTTCGGAGTTGGGGACAATTTAGGGCTTGTTTACTTCTATGAGATGCTCTGTTATTGTTTTTGATAAACACTCTTGCCTGCCACAAACAGTGCTCTTTCCTTCAGTATGCTTCTGCTTTCCCCCTGATTATTCATCTGATAATCTTGAGTAGAACCTTTGTGAAATTGTTTAGTATTGTAGGATTGGAGGCAGTTACATAGCAGCTAGTGAGATTTTGGCAAAATGTTTGTACTGAATGAGATCCTGGTGAAATGTTTGTAGGGACTGAGTTTGTGGTGAAATGTTTGTAGGGACTGAGTTTGTGGTGAAAGATTTGTAGAGAATAAGATTATGGTGAAATATTTATAGGGAAAGAGATCACTGTAACATTTTTTAGGGAATGAGATTGTCATGAAATGTTTATAGGAAATGAAATTGTGGTGAAATGTTTATAGGGAACGAGATCACTGTAAACATTTTTAGGGAATGAGATTGCAGTGAAATGTTTACAGTGAATGAGATTGTGATGAAATGTTTATAGGAAGTGAGACTGTGATGAAATGTTTATAGGAAATGAGATTGTGGTGAAATATTTATCAGAAATAAGATTGTGGTGAAATATTTATAGGCAATGAAATTGGGGTAAATGTTTTATAGGGAGTAAGATTATGGTAAAATGTTTATAGGTAATGAGATTGTGACATAATGTTTATAGGGAATGAGATTGTGATAAAATGTTTATAGGGAATGAGATTGTGGTAAAATGTTTGTAGTGAATGAGATCATGTTGAAATATTTTTGTAAGGAATTAGATTGTAGTGAAAAGTTTGTAGGCAATGAGGGAAATGTGTGACAGAGGACATAATCTTGTTTCAATTTGAATGCTATGTATTCTTGGCAGATGTCATAATCTTGTTTTAATTTGAATGCTATATTCTTGGCAGACGACATACTCTTGTTTCAACTTGAATGCTATATATTCTTGGCAGATGAACTACTCTTGTTTCAATTTGAATGCTATATATTCTTGGCAGATGACCTACTCTTGTTTCCATTTGAATGCTATATATTCTTGACAGATGACATACTCTTGTTTCAATTTGAATGCTATATATTTTTGACAGATGAACTACTCTTGTTTCAATTTGAATGCTATATATTCTTGGCAGATGACCTACTCTTGTTTCCATTTGAATGCTATTTATTTTTGTCAGATTACATACTCTTGTTTCAATTTGAATGCTATATATTCTTGACAAATGACATACGCTTGTTTCAATTTGAATGCTGTATATTCTTGACAGATGACATACTCTTGTTTCAATTTGAATGCTATATATTCTTGACAAATTACATACTCTTGTTTCAATTTGAATGCTATATATTCTTGACAGATGACATACTCTTGTTTCTATTTGAATGCTATATTTTCTTGACAGATGACATACTCTTGTTTCAATTTGAATGCTATATATTCTTGACTAATGACATACTCTTGTTTCAATTTGAATGCTAGATATTCTTGACAGATGACATACTCTTGTTTCAGTTTGAATGCTATATATTCTTGACAGATGACATACTCTTGTTTCAATTTGAATGCTAGATATTCTTGACAGATGACATACTCTTGTTTCAATTTGAATGCTATATATTCTTGACAGATGACATATTCTTGTTTCAGTTTGAAGAATACATTTACTGGACAGACTGGCAGACTGAAAAACTGGAGAGAGCTAGTAAACTGGATGGCAGCCAGAGAATGACCATTCAGAGCAAGTTGGAAGGAATTATGGATGTCCATATGGTCTCCGCCCGGAGGCAGACAGGCATGTCATATTTTTCTCAGTCTGCATGGTTTGTAGGTCGGGTGGGGTATTCCTGCACATGTACATCTTCAAGCATCAGTCAAGCTGAGTCCTTGTGTGTGTGCAGCAGTCAAGTCAAGACACTGTATGTGTGTGCAGCAGTCAAGTCAAGATACTGTATGTGTGTGCAGCAGTCAAGCCAAGACACTGTATGTGTGTGCAGCAGTCAAGTCAAGATACTGTATGTGTGTGCAGCAGTCAAGATACTGTATGTGTGTGCAGCAGTCAAGTGAAGACACTGTATGTGTGTGCAGCAGTCAAGTGAAGACACTGTATGTGTGTGCAGCAGTCAAGTCAAGACACTGTATGTGTGTGCAGCAGTCAAGTCAAGATACTGTATGTGTGTGCAGCAGTCAAGTCAAGACACTGTATGTGTGTGCAGCAGTCAAGTCAAGATACTGTATGTGTTTGCAGCTGTCAAGCCAAGACACTGTATGTGTGTGCAGCAGTCAAGGCAAGACACTGTATGTGTGTGCAGCAGTCAAGTGAAGACATTGTATGTGTTTGCAGCTGTCAAGCCAAGACACTGTATGTGTGTGCAGCAGTCAAGTCAAGATACTGTATGTGTGTGCAGCAGTCAAGCCAAGATACTGTATGTGTGTGCAGCGGTCAAGCCAAGACACTATATGTGTGTGCAGCGGTCAAGCCAAGACACTGTATGTGTGTGCAGCAGTCAAGCCAAGACACTGTATGTGTGTGCAGCGGTCAAGCCAAGACACTGTATGTGTGTGCAGCAGTCAAGCCAAGACACTGTATGTGTGTATGTACAGCAGTCAAGCCAAGACACTGTATGTGTGTGCAACGGTCAAGCCAAGACACTATATGTGTGTGCAACGGTCAAGCCAAGACACTATATGTGTGTATGTACAGCAGTCAAGTCAAGACACTGTATGTGTGTGTGTGAGTGCATGTGTGTGTACGCTCACTCAAGGGCTGTAAACTCTGGCTGAAAGCTCCGGTTGTTTGTCCACCTCTGAACTTTGGTCTTGTTCCAGAACCTGAGCTTTACCTGCGCATCCATTTTACCAGTATGAATTATTTGTATACAGACTGTTGATTGATTGCCTCTCAGACAATTGCACTCCGACTCGAAAGAAGCCCTCATTTCGCTGACTCTTACGATATGCTTGTTGGGAAGGCACTGTCTGTCCTTGTTGTCCTCACAGTGTGGCCCTGGAACCCACATGGAGAGTGGTGATGTTGATCTTAATGGTAATTTCATTGATACAAGTTAACAATTATTGTGCCTATTCTCTCCCTGCTAGGTACAAACAATTGCAGTATTATCAATGGAGGATGCACTCATCTGTGTCTGGCAAGACCAGATGGCTTCATTTGTGCTTGCCCCAATGTTGTGGATGACAAGCCTTGTGAGACCAGTAAGTGTGACTTCTTTGTATAGAAACTCTCCCCTCATCTCTCTGTATAGAAACTCTCCCCTCATCTCTCTTTATAGAAACTCTCTACTCATCTCTCTGTGTAGAACTTCTGAAAATAGACTGTCCACCAACCTCTATGTAGAAACTCTCCATTGACCTCTCTGTATAGAAACTCTCCCCTTATCTCTCAGTGTAGAACTCTCTGAAAATAGACTGTCCACTGACCTCTGTATATTTTGACATATTCATGGCATTGTGGTGCTGGGGTGTCTGTGGATTACCTACCTCCCCGGGCAGCAGCTAGAAATGCCCTGTACCAGTTCTAAAGGAAATATGGGTTGTGTTTCTGCCTTCCCCTTTAACACGTAGCTAAGGTGGGGCTCACAGTGTGCTCATTCCCCGCCACCGGATTGCCTGCAGGTTTCGCTGAGCTCTTCATGGCTCTAAGCATGGCCTAAGCAAGAAAAGTTGGGGCAACTGGATCGTCACGTCCTGAGTCCCTGTGCCTTCACGATAGTTTCCGGTATTCAGGGGGGTTAGCATACTTGTTTCCATTCCTGAGACTGTTCAGCACACCTCTGGCTCCTTCCTTCCCACAGGGGGCAGTACGGTGTGGTGCACCGGGTTTATTATCGAGGTTTGCTCCTCTAGATCTATTGTGTTTTGCCTGGGGATTCGCACCCCCAGTTACCAGGGCTACCTCGGGGAGGCTTTGACTCTTCGCCACGCACAATGGTCTTGAGGTAAGAGAGGTTTTGCTAGGTAAAAAAAAAGCCACTTTAGAAATTTATGAAAGATGCGTTAGAAAAAATCGTAACCATCCTAATAGACATCTTGTAGAAAACTGGGAATACAAACAAAGAATAAAGCACAAATCGGTTTTACACTGTGTTAATGAAATTCAGAACAGTTACCACCTCCCAGAAAGACGTCAAGGCATTCAAAATGTTGCAAGAAACCTACCACCACATGCTCGCTTTAAAGCTCCAGAAGTCCTAATTAAATTGGTAGGCGAGGAAACCAAACAGTCCGACCCAATCGCTCTTATGAACTCATCACTAAAGACCGTTGATTCTTACCCCCAAGAATGGATACATGTCTATACTGATGGATCAGCATTTAAAGCTTGCATTAAAGCAGGTTACGGAATCTACATAGGTTATCCCGATGGATCTGTTGAAGAGATTTTTGATGCATGCGGGAAATTCTGTTCAAATTATGAAGCTGAAATAATTGCACTGGAAACAGCAGTATACCACCTAAAGACTGTAATGGATGTTTACCCTTCAAAGACCCAAAATATTGTCATCTTCACAGATTCAATGTCTGCCCTTCAAGCTCTGGAGGGCAGTGAACGCTGCAGAACTGACATAGCCAAGATAATTCTGGATGCTGATCAGCTTATTACCTCATACAACATCAGAATAGTGATGCAGTGGATTCCAGGTCACTCCGGCACACCAGGCAATGACAGAGCTGACAGATTGGCAAAGAAAGGAGCAACACAAGAACAACCACCTACAGCGACAACCCTCCAGACAGCAAAAACACTTATAAGAGCTATAAACAAAGAGACTTGGTTGAACAGATGGGCCATGGGAGACACTGGAAGAGAGGTTTATAGACATATGTCTGGCCCTGATCCTAATGACAGCATTAACCATCTAACAAGAAGGGACCAGGCCACCATCTTCAGACTTAGAACGCAACATACTCCACTCAATGGACATCTAAACAGAATACAGCCACAACACTCCCCAGAGTGCCAGCTATGTAACTACCCCTACGAAACTGTTGAACACCATCTCTTTGAGTGCCCAAAACTCAGTGAGACAAGAAGAAAGCTACTCCTTCCGAGACCAGACAAGTGGAACACCTTGTACGGATGAAAAGAACAGCTTGTGAAAACATGCAAATTCCACTACATGGCATTGGGCCAAAGGGCAAAAGCTCATGCGCCGCTAGATCGATAACAACAACAACAACCTCTGTATAGAAACTCTCCATTGACCTCTCTGTATAGAAACTCTCCACTGACCTCTCTGTATAGAAACTCTCCACTGACCTCTCTGTATAGAAACTTTCTACTAACCTCTCTGTTTAGAGCTCTCTGAAAATGGACACTCAACTGACCTCTGTATAGAAACTGTCCACTGACCTCTCTGTCTAGAACTCTCTGAAAATAGACACCCTACTGACCTCTGTATGGAAACTCTGCTGACCTCTCTCTGTGTAGAAACTCCACTGACCTCTTTGTATAGAAAGTCTTCACTGACCTGTCTATATAGAAACTTTTCACTGACCTGTCTATATAGAAACTCTCTACTGACCTGTCTATGTAGAAACTCTCCACTGACCTGTCTATATAGAAACTCTCCACTGACCTGTCTGTATAGAAACTCTCCACTGAGCTCTCTGTATAGAAACTCTTCACTGACCTGTCTATATAGAAACTCTTCACTGACCTGTCTATATAGAAACTCTCCACTGACCTGTCTGTATAGAAACTCTTCACTGACCTGTCTATATAGAAACTCTCCACTGACCTGTTGTCATGAGTCAACTTTACCACACACTGTGAGAGAAAGACAAACAACGACTAGACTGACACATAAAAGCAGACAGGTCAATTACTGAAGAACGTCTGCTGACCAGAGAAGCAGAGAAGGAGTTAAAAATGGTGGAACTAGCTGCTGAAAAGAAATTAAAATTAGCCCAAATAGCGCTTGAAAAGGAAAAACTACTGGCTGAAGTGGATTATCGTAAAATAAATGCCATTACCCATTTGGATGCTGAACCAATCCCAAATGCAGACGAACTTTTTGCAACCATAAGCCAATCGCAATTCTTTTCAAAATTAGACCTCACTAAGGGTTACTGGCAAATTCCAGTTACCGAAGAATCAAGGCATATTACTGCATTTGCCACACCGACGGGATTGTTCGAATGGTGCAAAATGCCTTTTGGATTACAAAATTCGCCTGCAACATTTGTTAGCATGATGCGCATTGTACTTAAGAATGTAGTCACATATATGGACGACATTTGTATTCACAATGCAAATATGCAGGACCACGTTTTTTCCTTAACCCAGGTATTTAAGAGATTAAGAGAATTCGGCTTGAAAGTAAAACACAGTAAAGTAGAAATTGGATTCACAAAAATTGATTTCCTGGGTCACAAGATCGGCAATGGATTCTTACAAACAGATGACAAAATTGTTTCAAAAATATTGGATATTAAAGCCCCAACAATAAAAAAGCAAATTCGATCAATGCTGGGACTGATAAACTATTACAATAAATTTCTACCTGACTTTGCTGACATGACAGAAGCATTATCTTCACTCGTTAAGAAGGGATTGCCTACAAAGATAGCATGGACCCCGCAGCTGGAACAAATTCTGACCAATATCAAAACAGCCTTCTCGAAATCACCAATCTTAAAGTTACCTGACCTCAAAAAACCCTTCATCTTACAGTGCGATGCAAGTGGGTATTCCAAATCATGTATTTTATTACAGGAACATGAGAACATTCTCCACCCAGTACTTTATTCCAGTCGGAAGCTGTCAGAAGCAGAGAAACGTTACGTCACAGTAGAACTTGAAGCACTTTCTCTTGTGGTGGGGGTTACGAAATTTGCAAAATATTTGCTTGGCAGGAAGTTTATAGTACAGACAGACAACAAACCACTGACAGTCTTTAAAGAAGGAACACCGAAGAATCATCGTATCTACAGATGGAGTCTACTTTTGCAGAACTACAGCTTTGAATTAGTCCACATCAGTGGCATAAATAATGCCCTGGCTGACATTCTGTCATGTCTTTAATGTTAAACTCAATGCAGTTGATACGTGTTCAAGGTGTGGTCGTAAACTTTGTTGATAAACTGTCCTAAGTATTTTCTCACTAGCGCCCCATATTGTTCCACTTAGTTTTCTCAGGATAGCTATCTTCCTTCTGGCTTTAGTTGCAGCCTTGTTGATGTGTTTTCTCCATGTTAACCTATCATCAAACAGAACTCCGTGGTATGTGGGCTCCTTATCCTCTCTTAGTAGTATTCCATTCATCATAATGACACCTGATTTGTGTTTTGGCGAGAGGGTGAAGAGGGTGATGCTATACTTGTGTATGTTTTTGCTGACTTACCATTTATCAGCCCATGCTGCCATTGCATCTCTGACTCTTTGTAGCAGCCTAGGGGTCATGTAAGACAGAGGTTCGTGTGTCCAGTCATGTGAGATGGAGGTTCATGTGTCTAGACATGTGAGTTGGAGGTTCATGTGTCTAGACATGTGAGAGGAAGGTTCATGTGTCTAGAAATGTGAGATGGAGGTTCATGTGTCTAAACATGTGAGACAGATGTTTGTGTGTCTAGACATGTGAGACAGAGGTCATGTGTCTAGAAATGTAAGACAGAGGTCATGTGTCTAGACATGTGAGGCAGAGGTCATGTGCCTAGACACGTGAGACAGAGGTTCATGTGTTTATAAATGTAAGACAGGTTCATTTATCTAGACATGTGAGACAGAAGTTCATGTGTCTAGACATGTGAGACAGAGTTTCATGTGTCTAGACATGTGAGACAGAGGTTTGTGTGTCTAGATATATGAGACAGAGGTTCGTGTGTCTAGACATGTGAGACAGAGGTTCATGTGTCTAGACATGTGAGACAAAGGTTCGTGTGTCTGGACATGTGAGACAGAAGTTCATGTGTCTAGACATATGAGACAGAGGTTTGTGTGTCTAGACATGTGAGACAGAGGTTCATGTGTCTAGATATGTGAGACAGAGGTTCATGTATCTAGACATGTGAGACAGATGTTTGTGTGTCTAAACATGTGAGACAGATGTTTGTGTGTCTAGACACGTGAGACAGGTTCATTTGTCTAGACATGTGAGACAGATGTTTGTGTGTCTAGACATGTGAGACAGGTTCATTTGTCTAGACATGTGAGACAGATGTTTGTGTGACTAGACATGTGAGACAGAGGTTCA